GGGGAGTAGCGCATTAATAAAGGAATATTTTGATTGTTGTCTACAATCATCATTTATTCTGCAGGTTTTTTATTGCACTTAAAAAAAATATTAAATTGCTTGTTAAATAATGAAAAGTATATGCCCAAGGGAGGGTGGCGCATGTTTGCCAATTCCATCTCCATTATTTTTAGTTTATTCATTATAATGCCCGTTGCCCGATTGGATTTTGCAATTATGCCCTCTTTGGCTTTTGCGGTGACGATAACTGCTAGGTCGTCGGCATATGCCACAAGATGCACTTCTTCGCCGAGTTCTGTGTTTAGGATTGTATTATAAAAGATGTTCCATAGGGAGGGTCCAAGAATAGCACCCTCTGGCACTCCGCACGTGGTTTGGATTTTTTCTCCGGGCTTATAATGAATCTGCTATTCAGGTAGAATTTAATTATGTTCACTAGGTAGAGCGAGAATCCGTCCTTCTCCATTGCATCTATAATGCCATCCCAAGGTGATGAATTAAAGGCATTTTTTATGTCTAATAGAATCATTAGGCATATGTAGCGGTTCTTGTAGCTTTTTTCTTTACATTTGCTTGCTATCTCGGAGATTTTTTGAATCGCATCGGTAGCTGCTTTGCCCTTAGTAAACCCGTATTGGTTCGGATGTTCTAAGTTTTTTTGTTGCATTTCCTCAGTGATTCTGTTCTTGAGAAGCGATTTTAGAATTTTGTCCGCGTCATCTATTAGACATAAAGGCCTGTATGTCTGCTCGTCGTTTGATCGTTTCTTGGGTTTTTCAATCAGCACTAGTCTGGATATTTTTCAGATTTCTGGAAAGTTAGCATTTTCTAAACATTGGCTGTACATGTTTAGGAATACCAATGGGTTGCTGTTTACGCACTCTGCAAGGATTGCAAGAGTAATGCCATCTGGTCCGGGGGCTTTGTTTTTCTTTCTTTCTTGCACCGCGTAGCACCAAGCTAAAAACTCTTCTTTGCTGAAGGGAGTGATTGCAGTATCCAGCGCAGTTGCCGGTCCCATCCAGTCTATTACTGCTTTTTTCGGGAACAGATTCTCGATTTGCCTTTTGATGGTGTTGTCATCCGAGATTACTCGCTGCCTTATGTTCAGTCTCTTCGTTATTATTTGGTAGGCCTTCCCCCCGATGTCGTTGTCTAAGTCTTCGCACAGAGACTTTTAATGTTGCCTTTTGCTTCTTTGTATCAACGTTTTTAGTACGTTATTATTTGTTTTGTAGATGTTTGCGGGTAGACTCAGTTCTTCGGTGTTTATAGTGTTGTTGTTTTTGTATCTTGTTAGCCTCCTTCTTGCTTCGATGCATTTTTGCCGTTGCAACGCTATTTCGGTGTTTCGCGCCAAGACTCGCGTAGTCTTGGCGCAAAGCAAACTGATATGACACTCGTCCGACGAGTCCAAAGCTCTTAGATAGACGCAAGCGCCATATGCGAGCTTACTAGCATCTGAGAATCCGTGAAGCTCCACCACTACGAAATCATTCACAAGAACATTCCTGGTAATAGTCAAATCATCGAGGTCCTTTAACTGGTTGTAAAAAAGTATCCATTCTGTTAATATAGATAATGGAACTGATTCATGCCAGCTTAATTGACTCTGCCACTACCTTTGAATTATAATTTTTGCTGGTGTTATTATTGGGGCAATGAGGCCTAAGGGATCGAAGATCTTTGAAATGCAAGATAGAATACTTCTTTTCGTTATGGTGTTATTA